TTGGGGTCAGCTTCACTGGGAAATCAATTTGAGCAGAGTTTTATCGTCGTCTCTGCTAGATCCTTCGTGTTATTTGCTTGCACCTTTAATAGTCATGAGTGAGGAGGTTTTTACACTTGTGAGTCTAAGCTCCCTGGATCATTGCGTTTGTTACCTTTTCAACATCCACATTCCCAGTTGTCACAAATGCTACCTAACAACATTGAGCGCTCAAAGTACATTTCCCTTTGTAACTCTAGGGAGTTTTGAATGTTCATATTAACTGCTTAAACTAGTCATAAACCAGTTAGATTGTAGTGCCAGGCAAATAGTAACCATCTGATGCATAAAAATGCCTCTATATGCATTGCATGTGACTATTGAGACCAAACCTCTTAATGCATGGCCACACAAGCCTAAAGTTAATTATAAAAAACCCCAAGTCTTACTCAGTGAAGAAGTTGAGTACTAATACATTAATCAAAACACCAATAAAAATGTAACTATATAGAGGTATATGAGCCACAGGATTTATCCAAAAAATCACTGAAACAGTGTTTATTCAACTTAGTCTAAAGAAGTACTCTGCTTAAGTTTTACCTTGAAATATATGTTTTCTAAATAACAAATTAATTTAACCAACTTTGTATTGCTCTTGATGCTTTAATATAATTTTAAAAACTTCAGTTTATCCTAAAAAGCTTCGTAATGTGTCATTATTTGCTAACCCATAGTACAAAAGTGTTTTTGTCAGTGAGAGCTGCAGACATTTTAAATATTTGTTTTAACATTCTGTTGTTGCACAGTCTAATTGTCTTTTCATTTAAGAAAGGAAAATCCTGGAACTGCAATGAAAACTGGCTATTGTAAATATGAAGTTCTTCTCTTCCTTTTTGTAGCCTGAATTTGAAATCAGTCTCATCCTATTGTAGTTATTTAATGGTTTTCAGGAAACGGGAAGCTCTTGCTTCTCTCTTCCTCGTACAGAAGGCTAAAGACTCTATGCACTGCTGCTCATGGTGATGCCTTCATTGTTCAGTGGTTTATAAAGTTAACTTCCTTTAACAGGATTAGTTGTGTTACAAAATGGAAATTGAGGCTGACTTCCGCTTGGACAGTATGTAGAACACAGTTTATAAGTTTTGATTTATCGCATGGTATTCTAGGGATGCATACAAAAAGAAATTAATTCCATGGTCCAATTGTCAAGTTATTCCTCCCACCTGCACACCAGCCCTGAGCTGGGGCCGTAGGTCAGGAAGGCACCTCTGTTGTCATATGAGTGTCTCTGTGCAGGACAGTGCATACTTGCAGGTTACCTTCACTCTTACCGTATCTTAAATCCATTGATTGCAGTAGATTTAAGCATAAACTTAGAAGTCATCTGAACAAGATGTTTTCTTAAACTGGGGTTCAAGGACTTCTACCACTTTTCAAACATACCTATCTAACAGGTATAGCAGAGAACCAAAAAAGATTGCATTAAGATTTAAAAATTTAACAGTCCAGCTTCTTGCAGACCAGCAAAGAAAAGTTATGCCATGTGCTGTGCTGGTAATTTTTTCACTTTATCTCATCTTGGTCAAACCATTTTATCTCATCTTGGTCAAATCAAAGTGCATGTTCGTCAGTCGATCGCCTGTGTTAGTAGAGGAGTCAGTTCTGGATGTAGGCAAAGAAACAATTTAGTAAAAAGAGAGAAAGATATCAGTTGTGCAGGGCAGCAGGCACAGCAGAAGAGCCAGGCCGCCTCTGTCTCTCAGCATACGGCGGAGTCTGGTTTGGGGAAAGCCAGGTTGCTGCTGCAGCTGTGAGGGGCTGTGCGGGACGGCAGCCCCCCCAGGCACAGGATCCCGCCTCCTCTCTCTGCCCCCATCCGCGGGGAGTCTGCAAGGCTGGCTATCGGGGATGCTCGCTCCAAGATTTATCTTTGCCCCCCTCTGCTCCGCTTTTTGCAGAAGAAGGGTCCCGGTGCTGAAATCATCCCAGGAGCAGCGCAGTTCGGTTTCACCTGTGCTTCGAAGAGCTGTAAGCCTGACATAGTACCAGGAGAGGATCTGCTGGAAGAGGTTCTTGTGAGGGCTGTCCTCTCCGGGCCTCTGTTTTGTCAACGGAAACGTAGAGGGGGATCAAAGTCAGCTATTGCTTGTAAAGTCCAATGTGAACACACGGAGCTGATGGGAACAGCAGGAAAATTATGAAGTGTGTACCCACACATGGAGTCTTTATTTTTAACACCCTGTGCGCTTCGCAATTAAAATGCTCAGATGATATACAAGATAGTTTAACAAGATGATAAAAAAATACAAGATTAAAAATTAAAATTAAATTACAAATACATATTTTCGCCTCTGAACACAAATAATTTGGTTTATCCTCTAGAAATAGTTGACCGCCGAAATATCTGAAGACACTGTTCCTTTATGTGCTGAAGATTAATACCTTAAAACTAGGTAACTTTTGTAATTCACATAGTTAAGGTAAGATGGTGATTTAAACAGATCTGGAATACATAATTTCCATAGCTCAGAGGTTCAGTAGCTGTTGGAGTGGCCTGGCATGCAGGTCTGTGTTGCAAAACTCAGATCTGTTCTGGGCGGGGGGGGGATTAAAGGTGCCTGAAACTGTGTGTTCCCTGGGATTATCCATCTCCCCTCCATTTGCCCATGCGGTGGGATGCTGTCTCTTCCAGACACCCTGTATGTATAATTTCTAAGCAGCTTTGGGAACCCTAGGGATTAGAAGAGGTATATGAATGTTTTATAAAGTTATTGATAACCTCAAGCAGACGCTTTTCTAATAAACTGCTGTGTGAGATAAGTTACTGGTAGCATCTGCAGAGATGTGTGTAAATGAGCTCAAAATAATGAATACTGTGTTAGAAGAAAGCTTTTTTTAAAGCACATCTGTACTGGAGCGTATAAGATTATTTCAGCCTGCCCTGAGAATGTGTTAGAGCACAAATTACCATAATTTATTAGGGGAAAAGCCATTTCTGTTGATCATATATTAATTATTCATAAAATCTGTATTAATGTTACCTTAATGGGAAGTGTTACCAGCTGGGGTACTGGGCTTGGCAATCTATTCACATACAAAAAAAGATGAATAGCTTGACTTAAAAAGAAGACATAAAAATGACTTACAAGAGCATAAAAGCAGCAAGCATGGGTATATGAGTTAACGTAGAGCTGGCTATGGTAGAGCAGTCCAGCCAGCTAACCATTTTGTGTTTTGGCTCTAGCACTGGTTTGTGCCTGAGTGGCATTCAAGTGGAATTACTGAAGGATGTTTGTTACAAACCAGTCCTGTATGCCTTGCCCTAATGCTTTTCAGCTCTTCAGCAAGCATAGATCTGGTGAGTCTGAGTAAAAT